GACATTGAAAATTCAAATAAAGATGTCTCAATACAATGCTCTTTGTGCAAATGTGAAGAGAGCTTAACTAATACCGCCAATTTGTCAGATCATGAGAGTAATAGAAAAAGCACATTGAACATGTTCAGAATTGAAAATTTTTAAGAAATGCCTGATGTAGTACAATTTAACACTGGTTTTGATAATTATAACCATTATATGTTTGTCTTTAACCCTTTCGGACACGAAGTAAACAATTTAAAGTAATATCCATCATTACAGCCAGCTCGTGCTCGATACCATCTGATTTCTTTATTATCTGATTTATTTAACTCTAATAAAATTCTTAACATGGATTAATTACCTTTACTGCAAGTTCAAGGATCTAAATGTATGGGTACCAAAGAAAACCTCTACTGTAATTAGAGATTGCACTGAAATAAAAATTGAAAAACCACAAAGTCCAGTTTCACATCAAGCTACTTATTTTAATTACAAGTCAGCGAACACACTGAAAGTATTGGTAGGAATTTCTGGGTCCGGGTGTGTGACCTTTGTTTCAGATGCATATGGTGAATCTGTCAGTGACAGAGAGTTATTTAAAAAATGTGGTATCATTTATAAACTTCAAAAAGGGGACATTATTCTTGGTGATCGTGGTTTTAAAATACAGGATCTAGTTACTCATATGGATGTTCTAACTCAGCGTTGTGAATTAATACCTATATTCAGCAGCGGACTGCAACAATTTGATAATGATGAAGTTCTGATGGGGTTTTGAGTGTATGTAAATAAAAAATATTTTGTTTTTTAAGTTCATTTATTTTATTGTACTTATTATTAATGAATTCTGTATAAAACCGTGCCGGTTTTTTTTTGTAGCAAACTACACTTTGCTAAACAAAAAACCGGCACGGAGAAGGGGACAAACAATCACACCGCTCTGTCTCATTTCTATGCAAGACAAGTATGCGAATGCGAAAGAAGGCGTCAATTTGTCTATAGGTTTATCTGTCTACGTGTACGGGTGTTCCAATTTTTTTTATTTAACTTTATTTACGGTTTTGGGTTTTAGACTTTCTGAGCCTATCATTTCTTTCGTAATCTTCGTTTTTATATATTTTTTTCATCGCAATATGCTGATGCGTCACAGTTTTTGGGAGATTATATCAACATCAATTTCGTTGTTTTCTCTAATAGTTCACATGCGCAGACAATTCAAAAAATCGCATCACTTTTACGAATCAAAATCTACTTCAAACCATTATTCACGCAACAAAACAGGAGCGACAATCCGTCGACGGCCAAAACCTCTCCTAGTGTGCCTATGTAGATCGTTACATATAGGCAAATAAACATTGTTTTTGTGATAAAGTAAATACTCTACATTACTTTTCGCTACTCTGTAGTGCTTTACTAACCTTTTTTTATATAATAAGGGTGACAATTGAACAGACAGTCCACCTGATGGTTAGTGGATGCTGTGGCCCATAGCCATCTACATTTACCCTCGAATTAGAATCAAAATTCAGATGCGTTGTGACCTCTGAGGACTAAAATCGAATGCCTCGTTTCCAGTAAAAAAAGGTCTCCGGATCTCTACACTCGCCATACGAAACACAGCACTATTAAGCTGCTATGCTATGCTGCTGCACTGGTATTCTGGTGGAGCGTGGTTCTTCTCCGGTCGAGCGGACACGTTCGTGCTACGACTATATTATAGCTACAGCGTGGTTCTACCATGAAGTAGGTAGATTGAGATGAGTATCGGTATCTACTCAGTGTTGTGAATTAATACCTATATTCAGCAGCGGACTGCAACAATTTGATAATAATGAAGTTCTGATGGGGTTTCGAGTGTGAGTAAATAAAAAATATTTTTGTTTTTTAAGTTCATATTTATTTTATTGTACTTATAATTAATGAATTCTGTATAAAACTTCATCTAAGAAGGGGGGCAGGCTAGGTAATACCCTCATGGCAAGCAAGGCGTAGTTACCAAATAATACTAATAACATGTGAGTCACTCTGTTCTTAAACCTACAATGCAGTTACAGCAATAACTTCTTATTGCATCCCGTCCAATCATGTTTGTTTTTGTTTTAAACTATCTATTCTCTCTCGGGATACCTCTAGTGTATATATGGTATGAAAGCGGAAAATCTTATATTGGACAACACGATATGCTGGGAACTTTCTTGTGGTATTCTGGTACATGTAAGACCAAATCTCGAGCATTTTCCCAGCAAACTTCACAAACTTCATTCATGGATGACATCTGTAAGTAATTTATTTCATGAGATGGCCATAGATATTAAAATAGCATTGATGAAATACAAATCAAACACTAAGTTCGACAGAAAAAAATTGTGCATAACCTTTTTAAGCATGAAAGAAACACAAATAATATGATAGGTATGACACAACTAGATTCCTGATTAAATTTGAGTAACCCAAACTGGAGAATGGTTCTTGATATAAAATAGTTGTTTGCCTTCACCTTACAGAAAACCTTTGCCAAATAGCTGTATCGTATAATATCTTTGGTGTGAATAAGTTGTAGAGGAAAAGGGCTTTTTTTAGTAGAACCCACCTCAAGAGTGTCCCAGGGTTAGCAACAATGAAATTGGCAAGCTTGAAGCACATATATGATTCTTCCTCCAAGAGCTACCAAATTAGATGATAACTTATTACCAAAAATCTTAAATGTTCTTCCTAAGCCACGTTCAACATTGATAAGTTCAGATGACAGTTTTCTACGCTCGAGTGCATCAAACTGAAAACTAGCTATTTAGTAACTGTGGTATGTTTACTGTAACATCCATATGAGTAACTAGATCCTGTATTTTAAAACCACGATCACCAAGAATAATGTCCCCTTTTTGAAGTTGATTAATGATACCACATTTTTCAAATAACTCTATGTCACTTTCGATTCGGTGAAATCGATTTCGGTCGATTCACCATATGCATCTGAAACAAAGGTCACACACCCGGACCCAGAAATTCCTACCAATACTTTCAGTGTGTTCGCTGACTTGTAATTAAAATAAGTAGCTTGTTGTGAAACTGGACTTTGTGGTTTTTCAATTTTTATTTCAGTGTAATCTGTAATTACTGTAGAGGTTTCCTTTGGTACCCATACATTTAGATCCTTGAACTTGCAGTAAAGGTAATTAATCCATGTTAAGAATTTTATTAGAGTTAAATAAATCAGATAATAAAGAAATCAGATGGTGTCGAGCACGAGCTGGCTGTAATGGTGGATAGTACTTTAAATTGTTTACTTCGTCTCCGAAAGGGTTGAAAACAAACATATAATGGTTATAATTATCAAAACCAGTGTTAAATTGTACTATATCAGGCATTTCTTAAAATTTTCAATTCTGAACATGTTCAATGTGCTTTTTCTATTACTCTCATGATCTGACAAATTGGCGGTATTAGTTAAGCTCTCTTCACATTTGCATAAAGAGCATTGTAGTGAGACATCTTTATTTGAATTTTCAATGTCTATTGTTTCACATGTTTCTTCAAGTCTGGAAATTAAAAAAAAATTAGATCATTTGTCACAGTAAAAATAGTCCTAGAAGCACTATAAACATAGGCATTTAACGAGACTGATGCAGTTTATGTCGACAAGGGCTGTTGTGATAAATGAGTATGAAAAGTTTTTATTTACTTATAAAATGTTCTTCACATTGATTTTCCTGTGTTTAATCATAGTGTTGCAGTTTCACGTTTAATTTGACGTTGAAGAGCTCTATATGCACGTTTTCTTTTAATTTCCTTTTTTCTCTTTACTTTCATGGTTGAAACCATGAATCCAGGAAAATCTAAGCTATAGCTGCAAATTTTTCAACAAAAGATTACAACAGATGAAAGTATGTATAATTTGCTCGGTTATCAAGGTCAGGATAAATTTAGTGCCTGAAACAAGCATGAACTTAATGTTATCTATGAATAAGAAGCATTATTACTTACGATTTTCTATATTTGGTTCTTTAGGTAACGCATAATCGTCAGGGTTGAAATGTTTTTACAAACACGAGAACGTTTGAAGGGGTATAGTTGTCCCTGCGAATCGCTGTTAACCACTGCTTTGAAACAGTTTTATCCTTCGGAAACATGTCCTCCTTTTTTCCGACATTGAGGCAAGCTCTATTTATAAGGTACGTTGTGAAGGTATTAGATATGATTTAAATGTAATCTTTCTTTTCACGACTGCGCTAACAAACTTTAACAGCTATACTTCAGGACCTTACTCGACAGTGGCGCCAACTGGTGAGCACAAAAACGGTAGCCCTCATTGCTTTTAGTTTATGCTTATATTACGTTTATGTATAAAAATCTTTTTATTGATATTAATTAATCCCAAGTTCTAAAAATAAAAATAAAACTTACATGAAAATTAATGGCTTAGTTGCCTTAATATCTTGTACTAATTATATAACAAAACAACAAAATCTGCCGTTCCCCTTTTATGTGCATGTGTAAAAACTAACTTGGTATAAAGTTGTAAAATACTTGTGATTACTTGAATGTATTTTCTCTGTTCCATGTCAAATATTATTATGAGTCACTTTAATGTAACATACAACGTCACAAAATGTTGCGTTTGATATTATGTGTTAAGATAATATTAATAGGTACACCTTATTAGATGCCATCTTCATATAAACATTGATAAAATGTGGATTAAATAGTCTGTTTTTAATGACTAAGATCAACTGCCAACGATTTATTAGATCTTAAAATAAAACAAAAAGTTAGTTATGAATTAAGTTTATTTACTCTACGGTTTACGTATCAACATGATAAACAACATAACAACGCAAAAATATGGCAGTGTGCATCAGTTAAAACGAATAACAAGAAACATGTGAGACGGATGGTTCGCCTTCACCCCATTTCCTGGCATTTTATGGAAAACATAACTTACACTAATCGAGTTCCATTAATAATCAATAATAAGATGCTGTTCTAAAATTGATTACTAATTGTATTGTGGTTGTAAAAGCTTATCTTCTGGACGGGGCGATTGTGGGTATTGAGTCGCCTTCAGCATGAAAGCCTTTCTCATCAGCGCTGTAGTTTATGGTCTCAAGTTTGCCGTCGTTATCGGTGTAAGAGTAGGAACCGCTTACAACGATGACAGGGTGGGGATTATTGTCTTCATCGGGGACCGTCTTCAGTTCACCTTTTTCATTTTGTTTAATGCCATTCTCGGTCTCGTAGCTGTAACAAATAATCAATATCAAAATTTTGATCGCTAAACGCTATTTTACTACAGCCTATAGTACAGAAATACTCTAAAATTTTAATATTTCAATATCCAGATTCCCGGCTAACGGGAATGGAAAAGCATCTAAGATGCAGTGCGTCTATGGTGATGTCGTTGTGATCGGTTTATCCTACGTCGAAAATTTGAAAATACTTGGCTTACATTATTTCTTATTTATTCAGTAAATTATAGCGAGACACGATTATATGTCAAGAACCATTTAGCAATTATAAAAAACAGCATAAAAAAATTAGAATGATATAAAATTAAGCGTGAATGAAGAAAAAAGGTTCTCGAGTGGCAGCCTCGTACCGGTAGGCGTAGTGTAGGGCGATCCCCCAATAGATGGAGTGACGACCTGGTAAGACATGCAGGAAGTCGATGGATGCAGGTGGCTCAGGACCGTGCTTTGTGGAATTACTTGGGGGAGGCCTATGTTCAGCAGTGGACTTGTGAAGGGCTGTAATGATGATGATGATGATGATGAAGAAAAACTAGATACACATAAAGAAGTTAAACGTTACTTCTTTGAATATAGTGATATAATTATATGAACATCGATAAACAGAACAGCACTGAGGCTTACAAATTCTTTTCAATTTATTTATTAAATTACATTTATATTCATTAAAGGGAAAAACGGTTACATGTCAAGAACTATATAGTAATGATAAAAAATAATAAAGAAAATTAGAGAGATACAAAATAAAGCGTGAATAAAAATTAATTAGGTATATACCAGATACGCATTAAAATTAGACGTTATTTTTTATTATACTTACATATTTATTTGTTAAGTTAAATATATTCATATTTTAATATTCTACTTGTAAAACAATTTACATATTAAATTTCACAAGGAAGCTGAATAACTTTATCGTGGCAAAAATGATAGTCATACAAAAATGGTAAAAAATAATATAAAATATACAAATGTGACTTGCAAGTCTGTTTTTGTATTTATGTCGAAAGTAATAAAATATTATGTTAATTTACCTGAAGTCGTATCCACCCTCGGGTTCATGGTTGACCTCAGAGCTAATAATCTTTATTGGTACTTTGGTTGGTTCCAGTTCTTTTTCGGTAATTGAAACAGCGTAGGCGACGGCCACAAGGCCGAGGGCGACAGCAATCATCTGCAGATTAAACTATAGTTGATGACGATGATATTAAAAAAATAATGTACCTTTAAATTAATAAGGCCCTACAACGTACCATTTTCATGTTTAAAGAGTTTGGTTTAGTTTTCTTGCTACCAGATGAACGACTGATGGCTAAACGCTCGAAACAAATACTTATATACATTTTTTCCGGCTTCGAATGTAATTTCAATCTTCGGTAACCATACGATGTTGATTTTCGGGCTCCTCGGATTCATTATTCATTCAGTAATCATAAATCAAAAGTTTTCTGTGTGTACCAACTTACTGTACTATAGTATTTGACAAATCAATGTATGTAGCATGCGTTCACGCAGCGATTTGAAGGTTTTATCTTCACATATTTACTTAAAAATTTGTTGCAATATACATGTTAAACCTGTAATGTGAAAGAGGAAAATAAACATTGTTGCCATAGTTTTTCTGGTACAATTTCTATTCGTTTTATTTTTTCAATGAGTAATCATAAAAACATAATGTGTAATATATAGACAAGGTTTCTGTTTGTTGATCAAAAATATATGCTGGATAATTAAATAAATAAATAAAAAATAACTAATAAATTGAAGAAAACCTTGACCATATGTAATGTAAAATGTATGATGTATTTTAAAATTATTTGATCAACGTTTTCGATACATGAATAAATAATCATACAGATAATTTTAGGATATCATCATCGCAGCTTATTTTAAACTAGGCAACCGCTCTGGCTAGATTTAGGAAAATGAAGAAAGTAATTTTACAAATTTTATTTTTTGAATGGTGTTGAGATAAAATATAGCCTCTATCCCTACTGGAATTGCTATCTATTCTTTAAGTTTAGTAGCAATTAGTTCAGTTATACCGAAAACAAGCCCTGACAGAGAAACAGATAGACAGAAAGACAAACAAAATAATTTACGTCTTAATGTCATGCAATTTACCCCTAAGCTTAATAGAAGCCAGTTATTTCAATATTGCAGACAAACACTTTTATTTATATCTATAGATTTGAGGGACCACAAGAAAAAGCTAAGCTTCTAAGCCTTTCGTTAGTGATACTATAAGGAAAGTGTTTTTTTTAGTTTTCTCTTGATCTCCGAGGATGTTACGTGTTTTGAACGTACAGTTGCTGGCTGATGATTTACTAAACCAGTTGTTCCAAATTTGGCCACCAAACGTTGGAGACTCGACTGTGTAGGGCCACCATGCCTACCGTGAAATGGGTGCATTGCGCGCAACGCTTGCACTAATGAACACTCATTTTGATAATAAAGTTTCATCATTTGAATGTGCTGTTCAATCGTGTAATTTTTAATAAGTAACTAAATAATGAACAAAAGATTTGATAGATTAAATATTTATAAATGTTATATAATATTTATATCATATTTAATCATTTCTCTAAATATACTGCGGCGTAGTTGAAAGTAATTAAGAAAATGACTGTTTTTGCAATGGTATGTAAAGTTGTTACGGCTAAAACCGAAGTGCGGTTACTTCTAGTTCTAGCCGGCTAGAATTAGGAGCGGCCAGCATTAGTTAGTTAAATTTAGATGTACAGTAAATTTTTTAAAAAATACGGGAAAAACGTATCAAGTGACAATAGGTTACGGTGCGGTTAAGGTGGCCCTTAAAACCGCAGACATTTATTTAATTTATAAATTATGTATGATACATCTACCGTAATCGACTACACCTTGTATTAGCCGGCTACACCTATGTGTATGCGCATTTTGGCTATTAGTCTTAACATATTTCTGGTCGCATTTAGCTTTAGCCGGCTAGAACTAGGTGTAACCACATTTCGGCTATTAGCCGTAACAGAGTAATTTCAATCATCTGACTTACGATAAAAAAATTACTTACACCAAATAGTTATTTTGAGACATGAATGCAAAGAATTACAGTTGGGACAACGTTATATTCATTGATCTAACATGGCTAAACGCCAACCATACTGTGGAAAGATGACACATGCCCGAGATTAAAGGTGGATGCTTCATAATTTACGATATAGAATCCGCCGGAGGAGGATTTGTAGAACACACGTCTACTACACAAGAGATGACTGAGCCAAAGTAGATAGTAATGTGAAATACGATACGAATAAGATACTTAATCGTGAACAACGATGATGACGACGACAGCTCAACAACAAAAAGCAACATTGTATGTATATGTCTTATCAAGAAGACTGATTAAGAAAATAATGATGCTGTACATAACTGCATTGGACTGTTATGTGACTGATACAAATTAGACTCATACAGCATTACTGCTATAATAGCGAACCAATGATAATAAAGAAAGCTCTTAAGCAAACCCAAGTGACTTCTTATTTGTTATATAATTTGTCTTAAAGAGATCAAAGGGTCTTCATAAATCTAAAACAAACATACAGAAACCTTTAAACTATTGGGACCTTTCTACATCAGTAACAACTTACTAGGCATGCAATAGCCTCTAGAAGTTGCTTTATACCAGAAGAGGAGATATTATCAAGTAATATTTGGCAGATGCCAAGCTCAACCATCGAGGAAAAAAATAGAGTTAAACACGGCTATAGAGGTAAGCAAATTCACATGACCTTAGAGTATTCCAAACGTTCTAAATATTATATACAAAATAAAAACTGTCTCAAATGTAGTGGTCGACACTAGTTAATTAGAGTGTGAGTCATACATGAGACATATATTGAGTTTAGTATGTCAGAAAATATTGTATTTAATACAGCTGTAAAATTAATTAAAACACGACAAGTCTTAATTAAGCTATTGCATAGCTTCTATCGCGGGCCTTGAGCGCGGGGATCGAATCTAGAAATTCCGTAACGAAAAAAAACCTCACGCTCCCCACTCCGACGGGCACGGAGGTGTGGCTTGAAGGCCATGCATTGTCTAACGTCGTTTCTTTTCGGCAGTCTTCGACACGGTCAGGGGTACCCCGGCGCCGATACTTCTCCTACCCTACTTTACACTATTACACTTCCATACTTTAGGTTGGGGTTCAGTAATTTACAAAGACACTACTGCCATCTTGTACTGTATCCCGATAAACTTTCGAACATTAAATTCTAAAAGGTGCGCTAGATGGCGATACCACCAATTCTGGTTATTCTGGAAATGGCAAGTAGCAACTTTATATGACATAATGGCTACCGTCGCTGAGCAAGTTGTTGTTTTATTATAGTTTATAAGTGATTTTCGGTTGTTGCTACAGTAAGTTTGGTTGAGTTGGGATTAGCCCTCTGTTTCTTTGTTGTCTGTTTAGATTTTCATGCTGGAATTACATTGTATGTTTGTGTAGTGTTGTGCGAAATAGACGCTTTCATTTATCATTCTGGTAACCCGGTGGACATATTTAATTTGGTTTTGTGTTGTATTTTGCGGAATAGACGCTTTTACATCGTGTATGTTAAATATATATAACAAAAATAAATGTTAATATTACTGAAATCTATAATACGTCTTTAATTGAACCGAAATCCCTTAAAATATAAATATAACCGCCTATAGTATAGATAGCTGTATATACATAACCACATACAGCTATCTACATCAACATGATATTGAGATTAGTTCAAAGGATATGATACCAGGCGGTGACACTATTCATATTGGGTGACAAAAAATCCTAGGAGATGGCTCTCTATTTCTGTATATATTACTCTACTCTATGAACACAGTGTTTGTGTGCGTGCAACCAGACGTATTGTACGACTCTACGAAGCTCGCACGTATCGAGATTAGCTGCTCCGAAATCGGACGAATACATAAGCAGCTGTTTATGAGAAAGTATATAGGTGTATGGGTATTAATGTACAACAATGAATAGCTGTACTTGTAAAATTTGTGTATAAAATGTTTTGAATATGAATGAACAAAGTGCATTTATTATTAATGAAGAAGGTCATGAAAAAATAGTGAAAGAAAATGAGTGAGTACTCTATATACATACATTTTATTATTATCACAAATGCAGTATTAATTTTGAATTGGAAATATAATACTGCTATAAAGATTAAATTTTTGATATTAAAATGAGCGATATTAAAAGTAACCCTCTTTTATACACACAAACACACACACGCGTATAGTTTAAATTCTCAATTTAGATTCTCAATATGTATATATATAAATAAATTCATTCTTCATTATGTATATAACAGAAGCCATCGAACCAAGCACGTGTACTATTCAGTACCTTTGTTTTTGGTGTATAGATATAGATGAATGCCGCGCAGAGAAAGTATATATGATATTATATCTATATAAATGTACATCGCGCGAAATTCGATAATTACTTCTTAATATCGTTATTTTTTTTAAATGAATAATTTTGTTTTGGTGTGTCATTACACTATTTATACCTAATTATTTATACCTATTATTTATACTAGATATTTTCGTTTTATAGAGAAGAAAAGCGTAAAGAGCTAAAAAAGAAAAAAAAACTAATGCACGTCAAAGGGCATATTATCTGCGTCAGAAAGATTTGAAGAAAAATGAAGAAGAAAAAAAATAAAAAAAGAAACAGTACCAAAATCTAATGCTGAACGTCAAAGGAAATTTCGTCAACATAATTCAGAAAAATCTTCCATGGATATGTAATTTGATTTAATAATAATATTTTTAAGCTATTGCAAATGCTATGCAATAGCTTTACAGCGGCAGTCCCCGAGTGCCACACGTCTTTTTTTTTACTTATTGGTAAATACCATGATATAATATATACATAGATGATGAGAATAAAAAAGTAGTAAGTTCTAGAACTGCTGTTAATTGGATTATAAAGTTAATTTAAAATGAAATAAAAATATTGCCTTAAAATAAATTTAAATTACTTTGGTCTTAACTTATAAAATTATAGCATTTTCATACCGTAAATGAAACAAATATTTCAAAGGAATGAAAAGTCAATTATTTAATTACAGTCCACTACAATGATAAAGGACATTTTCTAATTTAATACACAAATTAATATCTGTTTGTCCAGCTATCACTTACGGGTACAACGTACGTAAACAAAACATTTTCAATTTATTATGTACCTTCTCCTGAATAAAAAATATTGAATCTAAATTAATACTGAAAAATCATATTCACATTTAAAGTATAGGTAATCCAATTACAGAGGGTGCTAATAAAACGAAAATCCTTT